TTTTCTAAAACTCAGTTTTTTAAAAAATACACCACTCAACAGTGGGAACAAGCACTCCTTCAGCAGGACACATGTTCATCTTAAGTGTTAATACATCAGCTTCTGGCTTTATTAATCTTATTGAAGGTGAAGAAACTGGTTATTTTTTGATATTTATTCATGAATTAGTAAACATACTGTTTACTTTTAAATCCTAAGTTCTGCCAAATTGCATAAGTCAAAAAAGGAGCCTTTCATCTTTCAGTTAACTTTTTCTACAGATGAGACTTAGGTTAATGATTTGCTTATTGTCACTGAAACTGTTCAATATCTACTGTTCAATAACTGCTTTTCAATATCATAGGAATCATTGTCACAAAGGACAAAACTGTAAAAATTCTTAAGACTATTGTGTTTTTTGTGATTTGTCTTTCAGCATTTTTACAGTGATACATAAGTGAATTAGAAACTTTGTTCATGCAAGAACAGTACATATGATATTTTCCTTTTTTAGCTTTTATTAAGGTGTTCCAAAAGTATTCTTTGAAATATTTTTGGCCTCACCTGAAGATAGGTTTTATTGATTACTTAGAGAAGGGGGAAGGAAGGGGAGGGAGAGAGAAAGAGAGATAGAAACATTGATCAGTTGTCTCACATGTGTGTGCTGCAACCTATGTGCACCCCAATTAGGGATCAAACCCCCAACCTAGGTATGTACCCTGACCAAGAATTGAACCCACAGCCTTTTGGTGCACTGGAAGATGCTCCAACCAGCCGAGCCACACTGGCCAGGGCTTCTTTGAAAATTTTAATTCTGATGTAATTGTTCTCTACCTAAGGGGGGGGGGTAGCTTCTTTGGTTGTTTTAGTAGGGAAGGAAATAATATGTTAATGAATATGATAGTTTGATAATATACCTCTTGCCTGGCTGGTGTGGCTCAGTGGTTGAGCATCAACCCATAAACCCGGAGGTCACAGTTTGATTCCTCATGACGCACATGCCTGGGTTTCGGGCTCGATCCCCAGTAGGGGGTGTGCAGGAGGCAGCCAATCAGTGACTCTTTTCATCATTAATGTTTCTATTTCTCCCTTCCTCTCTCTGAAATCAATAAAAACATTAAAAAAAAATTAACACATCTCTTAACAAAAAATGTTGGTTACTTAAAAGCTGATAAAACCAAGACTTTATTGCCCTGCTGGTGTTTCTCAGTGGTTATAGGGGCGGCTTGTGCACCAGAGGCTCTTGGGTTAAATTCCCAGTCAAGGATGCTTACCTGGGTTGCAGGTTTGATCCCTGGCCCCAGTCAGGGTGCATGCAGAAGGCAACCAATCTCTCTTTCTCTCTCCCTCCCTCC